ACTTGGATGCACGTCAAATTACGGATGCTGGCCTTGCAGCTCTTACAAGTTAGCATCGTTCAGATTGTTGCATGGTGTATTTGATTGGTGGAAAATCTGTGTATTTGTTAATTGGTTGTTTAGATTGAATACTTGGTATCAGTGTCCTACTGAGATACTCTCATATTGTTTGCTAGTTTTCTAAACATCAAATGTTACTGCTTCCAATTCCAAGTAGTTTTTAGCCTTTTTTGACAAGTTTTTGCTTAGGTTTCTGCTTGTGCTTCATGATTCTCCTATATGTTTAGCTCACTTAGTTTAGTTGTCCTTGCCTTCCAAATTCTCTTGTTTTTTCATTCATGCGTCAAGTCTTTTTCTTTGACCCAAAGACGATCTTTCCCTATTTTAAGTTCCATCCATTTAGCCAAATATGGTATTTCTCTCTCTTTCTTTTTCTTTCGAACTTGATAATATTTATGAAAACAACCATGCCCCTTAGCTGCACGTTTGAATTCTCATATCCTGTTTTTTGATTAGTTGTTCTTGTTATACGATCCGTGGTTCTCACGATGTTGCCGTGCTACTATTATCTGAACATTTCATCAAGATTGGCTACATTTGGCAGAAACGTGCCCAAAATTATTGCTGTCCATTATTTCTTCATAACTTGCTGATTCTCTTGCTGTGCAGGTTTGACTGGATTAAGTCATTTGGATCTTTTTGGAGCTCGCATTACTGATTCTGGAACAAATTATCTGCGATGTATGCTGAGAGGAACCATGTTACTTGATTTAAGTTCGTTATTTCTATTGCATTGTTGAGTCCACCATTTACAGTATTTTCTGTTCCAATATATGGATTGCTTTCTGGCTCTGTGCTGTGTGCATTAAGAAGTGAAAATGGAGATACAGGGATTATTGGGGCTAAAGCAGTGTTCAGAAAAGTTTTTTGTTTTTGTTTTTGTTTTGTGTGCATGTCGTGAATGGTTTTTTTATGTGAACAACAGTACATTAATATGAATATAAGTTTCCATTTTTTTATATATTTTAACTTCATCTTTCTTTCTTTCCTTTTTTGTAGCTTTCAAGAACCTACAGTCCCTTGAAATTTGTGGTGGAGGATTAACTGATGCTGGTGTGAAGAATATCAAAGATCTTGCATTTTTGACGCGTCTGAATCTTTCCCAAAACCACCACCTAACTGATAAGAGTTTGGAATCAATTTCTGGTATTTTTATGAATAAACTTTCATATGTTTTATATTTCCCTTTCAAACTTGTTATTCTGTCCCATTTGGCTAGGCTTCTGAAAAGCCAAAAGTCCCTTGAGAAACTAAGAAGCTGATTTGGGACCTGTTTGAATAATTTTTCCAAAGTGCTTTGCCTGGTTGGAGGAGTTTTTAAAGGAAACTATCGAAGATGGCTTCCTCAAAAAGCTCTTATATAAGAAGCGAAAGCCCTACCAAACGAGCACTCTCTATTATCTGCCTTCGTCATTTTCTTTGTACTTCTAGTGCATGTTGCTATATTGTATGAGATCGGTATGAACAAGATTTTAGCTTAGTTTTCTTCCTTAATTTTGTCAAAGTGTCGTCTATTCCATGCTACCAAACATGCCACTGGAACTTGATAAAACTGCCACAGGTAGAGCCATATTTGAATGTATTGCTACTGCAACCTATCTCTGTTGGTCTTAACAATAAAACGAGTCAATGTGGCATTTGTTTGATATACTGAAATCTTATTCTTGAGAATATAGTATTCGCTGAATGTAAAATCCGAGTGCTTGAGGGAGCTAGAGATGGTAGACGATAATTATACCATCTCATGGGATATGTGACAATTTGATGTTTCTAGAATAATTTTGAAGTGCTACTCATTCCATGTGCATGAAGGTTTGCCTTTTCCAACTTGTTGAGTGTGTTAATACATATAGCCAGCTTCTCGTGTCGTCAAAATTTTAACGCGCTGATGAATTTTCACATATAAATGCAGGACTAACACAGCTCGTATCTTTAAATGTCTCAAATTCTCGGGTAACAAGTGCTGGTCTGCAGCATCTGAAACCACTCAAAAATTTGATGTCACTAACCTTGGAGTCCTGCAAGGTGACTGCCAGTGACATAAGGAAGCTACAGTCGACCGAACTCCCAAACCTGGTGAATTTTAGGCCTGAGTAGAGCATATTGGAAGATATTTAGTTGACATTTGGAAAGAACCTGTACATATGAATACAAATAAAGTATTGCATCTTCTGTATTGTACATATGCTAGTCTTGAAG